AAAAATTTTAAAAAATTAACTTTAATTAATATTTATAAGTTTTCAAATTATTTTTAAAACTATTTCTCTCGTTTCTCTTAAAATAACTTCGAAAGTATATTAGATATTAAATTGTTATTTAATCTTAAAAATATTAATTTCAAGTTTTTGAAAATATCATTCAAAACGTTTAAAAAATTTATTTATTTAGGTTTATTATATAATTTTTTTTTCACTAAACAAATTTTAGTTCAATACTTATCTAATTTTGGTTCAATGAACAATATTTAAAAAATTTGTTCAAGAGTTTTTAAACCTTACACACCTTATCTTAAAATTATTAAATATATTAGTAAATTAGTTACTAAATTAATTTAATATTATTAAATTTTAATCAAAACAATCAATTTGAACATTGAAATTTACTATTTTATCAATAAAAATAAATAGCTGTTAAGTTTTTATCATTGACTGATTCAATCTGGTTTGAATAAGTCAAACAAACTGGTCCGCCAATGAGCGGGTCTGGACTGATTCAATCAGTCAAATTTGACTGTTTCAATCTAATAGTGTATATTATACAAAAGTGCGATTTACTATATACAATTAAATAATCAAAGAAATTTTAATTTCCTCTAAAAATTGTTAGAAATTAAAATTTAAAAGCCTAATTCGTAATATATTAATAAAATATTAATAATTAGGGAAATTAGTAGCCAATTTATTGAAAATAAAAAAAGATTTTTAAATATTAAATTATAAGGCAATGAGAATATTCACAGGTTACGCTTGATTGAATATCTTAAGTGCGCGCATTTCAGTTGGTGCTCTCTCGCACCGGTCAACCACTAATGGGACTCAAATTAATTTCTCGTAATTGGGGTTACCCAGGCTACCCGTTTTACCCTAATAGGAATAAAATAACCCCTTCCTTATGTAATTGCAGCGGCCCCGGCGGAAATAAGCAAATACGATTAAGTCTCGAGTCTCGCCTGTCATGCCTCGTATTCAGCAACGTCTGGAAGGGTCGACGTATACATATATATACCCATGCAGTCAAGCTTTAAGACTCCACCATGAAATGCCAATTTCTACACTTATTTTTCCTTTTTCTTCTACCTTCGAAAAATGTCTATTTCCCATTTACTCGAATCTATCATTTTTCACTCAATTATCTTATTGTTAGTTAATATTTACTATCGAAAAGTTGCTGAAGAAAGAAAATTGATTTTTTTAAATATTATTTAATTGTATAGAACATGGCTGGAAAGTCTTTAAATTTTTTCTTAAGGAAGGTCACGTGACCGGGGTGACAAATTAAACCCTTGTCAGGTTTTAATTTGTAGTTTAATTTTTTATTACTATGAAAATGAATTTTTATTTACATTTTTATTTGTATTAAAATTTATGCATGTTTATTTTTTGCATATAAGTTTTTACTAATTTTTATATTACATGTGACGCTCTCCGAAGAAAGATACTTTAGAAACAAAAAAATGTGAGGTTAAGTTTGTAGTTTTTGGAATGAAGAAATACACAAAGGGGATCAAATCTCAATATATAGGTATAAACTATAATGATATTTAAGTCTTTATTACACCTTAAATATTTGATAGAAACATTTCAGTTCCTAAAGTTGGCGTTGACGCTGAGCGTCTAAAAATATATTTTTTACGAAACTAAAAAAATCACAATTTTTCAAAAGATTTGATGTTAAAAAAGTACTCTTAAAAGTTTTTTATCTTCTAGCCAATTGAAAGAAATAAAATATATGTTAAAATTTTACCACTAAAAATAAAAAAAAATAATGTTCGATACTGAGCGTCGGCGCCAGGAACCTCAAATTTTTAGGGTAAAAATAATAAAAAAATAACCTTAAAATTTGGTCCGGTACACTGTTAGAAAATTCTGTTGTGATTTTACAGCAAAAGTACAAGAAACAATTATCCATCAAAATAATATTGTAATTTTACTTCACTAAAGTGCTGTAAATTTACAGTATACCATGTATTTCAAAAATATTCCCTACTATTAATTCGGAAATTCTATCATTTGAATATTTACATAAAAAATCAAAACTGTTTATATTGTTTTCTGATATGTTATAATAAAAGTAAATTAACTAAAAAAAAAGTTTTATTAGCATTTTATTATCATTATTACGGAAATGCGACGCCACGATTTGAACCCTTAGTCGTATATAGTGTTGTCTATCTTGTATGGAGCCATCAACCTTGGGAGCTGCGCCTAGACGCGCTCGACCAAGGGAGGCTATGAAAGTCTCTTGCAAAGTATTATGTATATGCGAAATAGTCATTATAATAATATCAAATAATAATAAAAATCAAATAATAATCAAATTATTTATTATATGAATGTTGAATGACTTTTCTTCGATCGACAGTTAAAAATGAATTAATTTAATGTAATAATCGCAAATTAATAAGGAATAAAATATTATCTTTTTGTCAAATTATAAAAATTAATGTTATATTTATTAAAATTATACATCTCCGAACTAAAGTAAAGTTAAATTAAAATTTTGCATAAGACAAAAAATAAAAATAAACTAAATTTGTTACAGTATCAAATATAAGAAACATGTTTACCATACTCTATTCTTCTTTTCAGTCCAAAATTATTCACTAATACTAAAATGCAATATAATTAAAAAATAGTTTTTATTGAAACTATTTTTAAGCTTAAAAAATGATTCAGCTATACTTTTAGGACTTAAAATCATATTCTTAAGGTTAAAATTCAGTCAATGCTATAGTTATAATGTAAAAAACCTCAGCTAAAATCACAAAATGAATATCTGTAAAATTCTTTGAGTTTTATACTGTGATTTCGCAAACAATTTACTGTAAATAAAAAGTACAATTTTTTTTTGCTGTGAATTATTCAAATACAATGAAATTTTGCTGTATTTGTAAGGTTTTACTGTAAAAATTACAACATTTTTGTGAATTTACTACATTTATGTGTTATTACAGCAAAAACTGTAAATTCACAGTATGTTTGTACTGTAAAGTTGCTGTAAAATTACAGAAATTTCTAACAGTGTACTTTTCTTCAGAACTTGTTACATATTTATATTTTTTTTTATTTTATGCTTCAATTTTATTATAGTATTATTGCAAAATCAGGGTGTCTACTAATCGGAAAAACCGGGAAATAGCCAGGAATTTAATTTGACCGGGAATAAGCTAGGAATTTTATGCCAAATCGGGAATTTTTTCACAAAATTAAAAAAAAGTTTTATTATTTTAATTTATTTTAAAAAAAATGTCTTTTTATTTCAATTTTTATAGATATTTATAATTTATACTGTTCTCTAAATTACTAAATTTGAATTAGTTAAAAATAATTAATTTGATAGTAAAAAATCAGTCACTGATTCAAACATAGTATGAAAATAAATTTAAAAAAAACTATCGAATTAATAGAAATTTTGTGAAATTCAAATGAAAATAATTAAATTTGGTAAATAATTTAATTAAAAAACTTTTTAACAAATTGAATTTTCAAAGTATTTTAATTATAATATTGATAAATAATTAAATTTTATAAAGAGTCACATTCTAATGTATTCATGTTAAAATTTTTTAATAAAATTAAATTTTCGCAAAGTTTTTTTGAAAATTTCGTCGAAAGAATTCAATTATTTCTAGAAACTGAAAAAAAATTATTCTCAAGAATTCAATTATTTTCATAATTAGCAAAATTCTTCAAACAGATTTATTAAATTCTTTTGAATATTATTTTTAAAAAAAAATTTTTCACAAGATTTCAATTATTTTCATAAATTTCCATAAAATTCTAAAAAACAATTCAATTATTTTTAAAAGTAATAAAATTCATCGTAGAAATTCAATTATGTTTAAAAATTTTTTTAATTCTCCTCAAAATTTCAATTATTTTTATAAATAATTAAATTGTTCTTCACAATTCAATTATATTTTCAAAAATTTTAATAAAATTCTACGCAAACATTTCATTTAATTTAATTAACTAATTTGCTGAAATTCAATTAGTATCATTACATTTTAATAAAATTGACAAAAGAATTTAATTATTCATAAAAACTCTAATAAAAATTTTGAAAGCCATTTGAAGATTTATTTTTATTCGAAATCAAATAAATTTAAATTTGTTGAGAAAAAAAACCGCGGGAAAAATTAGGACAAAGCTGGAAATAACCGGGAATTTCGTTGAACGAAAATAGTAGACTCCCTGAAAGTAAAACCGAAATTATTTTCAAAAAGTAGATTAATTAATTGTTATTTTAGGGGAAATTTGTGGTTAATATATAAAAGACATAATTCGTAAATTTATTATAATATATTTTCCATATAATAATTTTTGCTATACAGACATTATTTTACAAAGCACGATTTTACTTATAACCTTCATGCTGCGAGACATACAATTGTATCAATCGAACTGGCATTATTTAATTCGCAATGATATAAAAATCATCGAATCAATCTCTCGGAATTACAAACCCTGCTAAATTTTATTTTGTATTTATTTTGTATTTTTTTTTTTTTTTTGCACGGTATAATTTCGTCTCTTTTTCTTTATATAATTCTACATCGCACCAGCCTCGGGATTCGGTAAATTCTATAATTTTATACATTTATAATACTGGTATTTCATTATCGAACGCACCTCGCGATTGTTGCACGATCGACGCTAATATTTACTATCATTTAAAAAAAAGACCACGGAAAAGCGGAAGGAACTTTCAAAAAGAAAAAAATTTTGTACTTCGACAAAAGCAACTAAAAATAGTACCAGTGAATTTAAAAAAAAATTTCAACTTTTAAAATTAATTTTCAAAGAAAAATGGTTATAATGATATTTAGTTTTATTTTTTTAACATGAAACATTTTCAAAAATTTTTTTTTAATTTAAGTTGAAACTTTTTTAATTCATTTTTCAAAAGTATTCTTAAAACGGTTTAAATTTTTTTAATAAAATTTTTTAAAGAAATTTAACTGAAATATAAAGTTGTATGTTAATTTAAGAATAGAAAAATAGCGGTTTGTAAAGTAAAAAAAAATTTACGAGGAATTTCCTCGTAAAAATGAATAAAATGAGTGTTCAAGTTTCAAAGAAACAAATGATTGAAAGTAACATGTAAATTGTATTTTTTATGTATTTAGTACTGCACTTGTGCCACCAAGGTTGATATTTTTCTCGACGTTTTTTCAACAATTATATTGCGACGGATATATTCAAAGTCTGAAAAATACTTTTTGAAATATTTTACTTCCGTTGGCCTCGACTTATAACCCTAGAGATTAGAAATCTTTTTTTTCTTCTTTTACACCCTTATATATATATACGATTTTACGTATATGCCAATTTTTCCATCTTCAGTGCGCATTTCTTTTTTTTTTATTTACAATTCTTAAAAATCTTACAATTTAAGTTCTAATGCAATAGTACAACCCATTTGGAAAGATTTTCTTGAAAGTGACTTCTGAAATTTCTTTTGGATTCTGCGATATTGATATCCGGAAAGATTAATATCGGAATTCCGAAGAATTTTCTAGGTGCCACTTTTTGGGAAACCTTTCAAAATTATAGCTTCCATACGTTGACAAAATGGAAGCTTTTCTTATTTATTAAAAATTTTATTTCTTTATTTACAATGTTGCACAATAATGTCGCTTTGCGATTTGATTACTTGTCACACGATTGTATCATGTGAATCTATTATTATTTTCCCCTTATTTTTGGCCTTTGAGACTTTCTAAAAATTATTTTGGAAATAACAATTTTATCTGTACCAATATCTTTCAAATCATTTTTTAAAAAAACATTCAAAAATATGCTCATGGCTCACTTGGAAATATTTTCCAGAAGTTGGAAATTACATCGGAAAATATTTTTGGAATGTCGATGAAAGTTTCATTATCTTCTGGGAAATCTTTTCAAGTGAAAGTATGTAAAATGAAAAATTTATCACCTGGATAGAGAAAAGTAAATTTTAAAAAAGCGAAATGTAAATTATTTTGAAATTCGGAATTTTCGGATTGTTATAAATTTAAATTTTCCCTCCACTGAATCACTCTCTAAACGTCGTTTATGCTCTCTTCGTCACTTTCTGCTTTTATACTATTCGGCGAATCTTCTCTAGGTGGTGAAATTCTTTCGAGACTTTTACTCCTGTCCCTTGACATAACGGATTGCTCGAGGTTCTCCCTCTCCCTGGGATCCATTATTTCGGGACTGTCTCTATAAAAACTACTTAAATTTGAAAGACTCGAACTTGCAGCCAATGAGCCTAGAGTTGTACTGGGACCGGCCATGATCATCGGCGCTGATGGATACAATCTGTAGGGCAATGGTTTCTGTAAGGTGACTGCGGCAGTTGCTGCCTGGCGATAGAAGAAGTCGCTCTGATGATGTGCCGCTGCCGCTCCAGGATATGGCCAGTACGAACCTGCGGCTGGATGTGCAGGAACACCAGCGGCGCCACTCGCGTATAATCTTTGGAATGCTGCATAATTGCCCGCTTCAGCCAAAATTTCATAACCCACTATTGCCTGTCGCTTCCATTTTGTTCTGAAAAAAACAAAGAAGAGGAACATTTTAATATTTTGATGAATTAAGTACTTGACGGAGACTAATTGTAAAAATTCTTTTTTATAGGTGATGATTAAAGATGTCCAAACACACTTTTGAAAAATATAGAACCTCTTCATCTTAGGAAATTTAAGTTATTTACATGAAAATTATTCCTCTTCTTTTAATTTTACAAATTTTAAATCTATTATTATTCCTTATTTTCATTCTAGGTGTCTATTTTTTTATTTTTCAATAAAAAAAAGGTGCATATTTTTCAAAAGTGTGGTTAATTGAAAAAACAAGTGAACGAAAACGACGAATTTGCAATTAATATTCTTTGAAAAATTTCGAGAGCAAGGGAAGTTATTTTTATAGAATTTCAAGAAAATACTTAATATATGTGAATTATTTTGGTCTGGAATTAAAGAATGGAATTTGTACTTGATATTGTGCAACTATCAAAACTTGAAAAAAAAATTTCTTCAATTGGCGTGCGCTTGAGTTCTAGATTTCAAAATCGCATTTTTCACGAAAAATCTCTAACTTTAAAGAATTATATTTTCAATATTTACACTATTAAATTGGTTATATCTTAGCCTGTTTGACTCTAAATTTATTAAACTTTAAAATGATCCTAGTTTGATAGCTCTAACATCTATTTTTACAGAAATATTTGAATTTGAAGTGAAGCGAGCATTTAAAAGTAATCAGTACAAATGTACTGAAACTTTTTGACCCCAGTGTATTATATTTTTAAACTTTAAAGTATATAAAAAAAACTTTAACAAATTTCGATACTAATTTCAAATTTGGCATCAGATTTTCAAAATTGAAAATAATTAAACTTTCTTGTACGAGGAAAATTGAATTTCACAAAAATTGTTATCTGATACCTAAATTAAAAAAAAACTTCATTACGAAAATTTTAATTATTCTAAAGAATAGAGAAGGTAAATACAAAAAATAAAGGTAAATAAATAAAATTATTAGATATATAGGTATTTAACTTTCCGAACAAAGAATATAAACAATATTTTTTTAGAGAATTTCCACTACTTTTAATTCGCTAATATTGAAAAAAATCAATTTTATTTAACAAAATTTTATGCAATTTATTTTTCCCAATAATTCAATTACTTTTAATAATTATAAAATTTTTCATGTAAATTCAATTTTTTCAAAAAAATTTTTGATTAAATTCTAAGCATGAATTTAATTATTTTCATAATCGTAAAATTCAGTTACTTTTACAAATAAAGTTTTTGACAAGAATTCAATTATTTAGAGTAATAAAATTTTCATAACATTTAAAAATTAATTATTTAAAACAATGTTCATAAAATTCTTATGAAGATTTCAATTCCTTTCAAAAGTAATAAAATTTTCAACAGAAATTCAATTCTTTTTAAACATTTTAATAAACTTTTCCGCAATAATTCAATTATTTTCAAAAATTTAATAAAATTATTCGAAAGAAATTAATTGTTTTAAATAAAATTTTAATAAAATTTTTTTTTAAATAATAAAAAAATTACTCCCGAAAATTCAATTATTTTGAGGTATTTCAATAAAATTCTTTTCAAAATTCAATTATTTTCATAAATAACAATATTCATCACAATAATTCAATTATTATTAAAAGTAATAAATTTCTTCTAGGAAATTCCATTGTTTTAAAAAATTATAATAAATCGTTCGCAAGAATTCAATTATTTTCAGAAATAATAAAATGTTTTTTTGAAAAATCCAATTATTTTCAAAAAAATTTAATAAAATTTCCCACAGACATTCAATTATTGCCAAATTTTTTAATAGAATTCTTTGTAAAATTTAATTATTATCTTTAAAAACTTTTCACAATTCAATGATTTTCAATATCTACTATTTTTATAAAATTACCAAACAGAATTCAATTATTCAAAAAAATTTATGATAAAATTCTAGGAAAAAATTCAATTATTTTCATCAATTTTAATAAAATTCGCCGCAAGAATTTAATCATTTACATAATTAATAAAATTCTTTGAAAGAATTAAATTATTTTTATAAATAATAAAATTCTTCGAAAGTAATTAAATTATTTTTTCAACAATTATTAATAAAATTTCTCGAAAGAATTCAATTATTTTCATAAATTACAAAATCCTTAGAAAAAATGTAATTCTTCAAAAAATTCAATTTTTCTCAAAATTTATAAAATTTTTCAGAAAAATTCAATTATTTTCCAAATTTTTTTTAAAATTCTTCCCAAGAATTCAATTATTTTCCAAATTTAAAAAAAAATTCTTCGCAAGAATCAATTATTTTTATAAAAATAGAAAAATATTCCAAAAAAATTTAACTATTTTCTTAAATTATGAAATTCTTCAAAAAAAAGTCAATTTTTCTTAAAATTTATAAAATTCTACAGAAAATTTCAATTATTTTCAAAATTTTTTTCAAAATTCTTCGCAAGAATTCAATTATTTTAATAAATAATAAAATATTTCAAGAAAATTCAATTATTTTCATAAATAACAAAATTTGCCTAAAGAAATCAATTATTTTTGTAAATAATAAAATTCTTCTGAAAAATTCAATTATTTTTATAATTATAATAACATTTTTCATTGAAAATTCAATTATTTTCAAATATTTTTTTAAATTCTTCGCAAGAATTAAATTATTTTAAATTCTTTCATGAATAATAAAATTCGTAGCATAAATTCAATTTATTAGCAGGTTAAGGGGCCGTACACATAATACGTCACGCGATTTTGGACCCTTTTTAACCCCTCCCTCCCCCTATGTCACACTTCGTCACAAATCTTGAACCCCCCCTCCCCCCTACGTCACGTCACACACGTAAATTTCACTGTAAATTTTATACATTGGACAATATATATACAGTCGGGTCCCCATACTGTTACATTTCCAGAAATTTCCCACTCCTCCAGACTCAGCTCTGTTATGTGCTCAAAGTATGCCTCTGCGCACCTTTCAGGAACGTAAATATATACACCTCAAGTTTGGCCTAGAAGTATATGCCCCCTTTTCTTTGGGCTTAAGAATACGGCCCTGAAAATTGGTGACGTAACATGACGTCACCTAACACTTCTGAATTTGGAGGTTATGCAAAAACATAACACTACTGAGGACATAACAGTTTGGAATCTAACAGTATGGGGACCTGACTGTATTATATCTTACACTATATATTATTGAATCGCAGTTAAAAATACCTGATTTAGAAGCAAAAAGTCAGTCACTAATTCAAATAGTAATATTTTTTTTCTGACAATTAGTTGAAAATAACTGATGTTTCAATACAATTGTTTTTGATTGATTCAATTAGTCACGTTTAACTACCTATACATAGCACCGAAACTTTCCTAAAAATTTACTAAAGATTTACTCGCAATTAAGCTTTGAAATATTTAAATGCAAAGTTTAGTGAAAATTGTGTAAAGATTTAAATATCCCACTTCAATAAATGTGTAGCGCGAAACTTTCCTGAAAATTTAAGTCAAATTTGCAGGAAAATTTTCACGAAAGTATAGTCGAAAATGCAATTCAAATGTTCAGGAAAGTTTCAAGCTATATTTTTAAGAAAATTTGACGATAGACATTTATTGGAGTGAGAAATTTAAATCTTTACACAATTTTAAAATAAACTTTGCAAGTAAATTTTTCGAATTATGCAAGCAAATCTTTAATATACAATATTTAGAAAAATTTCGGTGTTTTGTGGATAATTTTTCAGTTATTTTTAACTGATTCAGAAGCAAAAAGTCAGTCACTACTGTATGTCAGTTAAAACCATGATTTTTAACTGATTCAAATTAAGAGAATATATTATTTATCATCATATTATAAATAATATGCCAATAGATGTTAAACAGGTACATAATAGATATTAAATAGTTTAAAGCATTTTTAACTTGTTTTATTTAGAAAAAGTGACATTGTCACATATAATTTCTTATAATCTTTGAATTTAAAAGATTGTGACGTAACACATGAGTTCACCCCCCCCTCCCCCATGTCACACTTAGTCACAATTCTCAGACCCCCTCCCTCCCCCTAGACGCGTGACGTATTATGTGTACGGCCCCTAAGAAAAAAGTAAATATTTTTGATGAAAATTAGGAAAAAGTCAGGAAAATAAAAAATATGGAATGGAATTTTTGTCAATTTTGTGAAGTGAATAAAACGAGTTTTTTTTTTTGGTTTCTTTTTGACATTAAAAAAATGACAATAACCCACAAAAATGAATTTTCAAAAAAAAAAAACAAATGAATACAGATAATTTGCTAACGAAAAGGAAACTTACGATTATTATAATGTATATTATAGCGGTTGGTGTATAAATAAATTGACACCATGTGTATGAATTAGACGGCTTGGAATCATATCACCACGTTTTTATACTATATCCCTTAAGTGTCATGGTTGCGTCCACCGAGAAGAAAATCGAATAATTGTCTATGGGATAGCACAACGGATGATAATATATAATTATGGCATTCTAATTGACGAGGAATATAAACCTAGTAATAGAGAACTGACTCGACTTTGACGACCCTGGAAGAAAAATTATCCTCGCAATGTTTTAGTGTATTTCTGTAAATTACGACACAAATTATACCCAAAAATTTGATATTTGATGCGATAATGAATCTGATCGTTATAACAACTCTGACCGTTTGAAGGACGGTGACGGAAGGTAATAATTCAGTGGATATTATTAGAGGACCAATCGACATGGTATATAAGATTCCCTCACATTGCGAAATTCTGAAAGTTCGCGGTTCTTGTTTGCTCTAGTTTCGTGACGAATCTATTTCTCTCTGTCCCTCTCTCGCAAGCGAGTTGCGAGGGGCAGCATAGGAGTGTATGCGTGGCATGATACGCGATGATTAGGCACTGAACTCCACGGGCTATTTGTTAGTATAATAAGCCCCGCAGTGTGGCCAACGTAACCACTTGGCCGCACGCCACCCCGTTTTAGCGTAATT